CCTGTGCAGCAGCTGAAGAACCGTGGATTTCATATTACAGACTAAAACCTCAGTAAAACTGCTCAAAAAAAAAAAAAAAATCCTTCCTGCAGCTGCCAGGCAACAATGACGGAAGAGAGGCAAAGCCTTTTTTTTTCTTTCCCAATGCAACTGAAACACTAAACCCTAGCTCTGCTGCTTTACATTGCAGCTCAGCACAATTACTAGAAATATGGATACGGAGAAGAGAATACAGCACCGCATTGTCCAGCCGGGGAATACAGCAGATGTAAAGAGCTTTAATGCATCAACTGTCGGAAAGAGTCAACAGTGCACCAAATAGAACGGACAACTACAGCTCTTTTGTTTAACGAAACATAGAAAATGAAAGAAAGGGAAAATCTCTGAAGACTAGGACGCATATGAACAAGAAGGGTAACTTGAAGACTCGCCGACAGATGGACACTTTGGATACTGTGAAAAGCAATCACAGGAGGCAGACTGTTGGGGGATGTGCGCATGTTCGATAGCATCGGCTTTTTTTTTTTTTTTTTTTTTTTTGAAGTGATGGCGTGCCAAAAGTATTTTCAGTGGGCATAATCCTCTCCACCTAAATGGCCTGACCAAGAAGGAAAGGTATGTTGCTATCTTGTATACAATATGCATTAAATGTATTATGATTTTATAGCCCTGCAGGCACTAATACTTGGTAAACAAGTTCATACAGTTCACTGCCCTTGAAACTATGAAAGGGTTTCTAAATACATGATTTTAAAATTTGCCGTTTCTAGAAGACAAGCTGTCACTGCTTTATTCAACTAAATATGTAGCTGGGAGTAATTCTGCAGGACTGAAAACATTAAAAGAAAAAACAAATAATAACTAGATGTACTGAAAAGATTCTCTGAGAAATTAAACTAAGAAAATTCTGTAGCCCTTTTAAAAAAGACAGCAATTCTCTAACAAATTAGGTCAAACTGATTCCTTATCTAATAAATTAAAGCACATTCTCTAAAATGGCTATCAAAAGATAGTGCAGTAAAAATTAAATAGTGTCAAATATGATCTTAATATCATGGGGTCTTTTGGAAAAATATCCATTCAAAACAAAACCTTAACAGTTTGTAGCAATACCTTTTCTCTAATATCTATCTCCTCAGAGATGACAAACACAATTCAAGAGTACATCAGCAAATTTTAAGTATTACTGAGCTACAAGAAGATACTACAAGTTAAAACATAAGTATCAGATCACATATGGTGAGTTTATGCAAAGCGTAACACCAAGGAGACACATGTTATTACAGTATCAATGAATACAACTTTAAACAAAGAAATATCAAATAGTTGCTCTAAACACATTAGTGAAATAGGGAGCTTTTAAGTAGCAGACTGATTCCAAATAATCAAGTGTAAGACTGTTCCTGGAGATGGTTTTAAAAGTGAAATTAAAAATCTAGCATAAAATAGCTTGATATGAAGATATCCATTAATAATAATACAAGGTCAAAGTAATATCAATAATGGGCTTCTCGGATTTATTTACATGTAATAGCAACCTACCCATTGCCTCCACATGTGTCTATAAGACAGAGATAAACTATCCTGGGGACAATCAATGTTAGAACAACTAACTCAATTGTACAAACCTATCAAGTATTTTGATTTTTCCCTTCACTTTCATAAAACTTAATAACAATCACAAAAGCAAATGATTTTAAGAGCTACAGAAGCTGTATTGCAAAATTAAGTGTGTCAGACTTTGTTGTATAGAAACATCAATTCTTAATAATATCTGTATTCTAATAGATTAAAATCAAGAACAATTAAATGAAACACAGTTTTAAAAATCAAGCCTCTCTTGGTATCTTTCTTGGAAATTAACTTTTATAGACTAAATATTTCATGATAAAAGTTTTTCTATCAAATCTTCACTTAAAGCCCATGCTGTTTCAAAAAACTAATATATTGGTATCAACTTTTAAAGTCAAAGAATAGGATCTCTATGGGGAGGCACATTTAGTAGTAACATCCTTATAAATTTCGATTCATAAGATATAAAAACATACTGGAAGTATTATAATCAAAACAGAAAAGGAAATATTAAAAAAAACTATAAGACACTCTCTACTCTTGTTCTCATTTTCAAGAACTAAAATATAACAGACATTAAGTGAGAATAATTTTATTATTTACCAAAGGGAGTAATAGTTACAGCAATTTTACTTTATTTTTAATAGCACACATACGTGCAGATATATGCATATATATATAGATAGATATAGATATAGATATAGATATATGTATCTCCATCCTGAGAAACTTTAGGAAAGAATGTAAGGCTAGGTGCATGAGTTCCATCTATCAATGGAGGTTATCAAATAGGTATATTTATACGGGCTCCAAGCCTTCCTAGATTAATACTTGCAAACATGTGATTCTCATGAAATTTGAATTTGTACCTTCATCTTATAAAAATCACACTAGAACAAATTATGAATGCATGCTAAGCTATAGTAAAAAATAATTAGCTGGTTTCTGTAACAATTTAACACATTGGAATATCACTTCAGGTACACTGTTTTCTTGATGTAACTTACTGCAATACATCATTCTTAAGTTCTTTTACTCATTCATTTAAATATCTGACTTGGAATTTATTCATTTTTGAATTATAAATTTTCACTTTTAAAGTATCTGAATGATTGGATCTTAGCCATGTTCTAAGTATTGCTGTATCAATAAAAGGCTGATACATTTATATTTGTAATATTTGAAACAAACCAAATGAACTTTCCAAAGTAACTTCTTTTTAAATTTATATATGTAACTCTTCAATATCCACTGGTCTCATAAGGTGGGTGTGTGTCATTAGTAGCTACCAAATAATATAATTTTCCAATAAATTCTTTAATAGTTTTTCTGCTTTACATAGAATTTATAAATACAGGCATGAAAATTTGTTTCTAAATCATGCCATGAAGCTCTGTAATTTTCAAAACATGTCATATAGGAACCATACTTCACAGGATGAGAATAGCTTTGATCTCTATATAGTACTGAAAGATTTAAATCCATATAAATAAAACTAAGACCCAACTAAATATTTAAAAATCAGTGTGCGTGTGTGTGTGTGTGTGTGTGTGTGTGTGTGTGAGAGAGAGAGAGAGAGAGAGAGAGAGAGAGAGTTAAATACTTTTTTAGTTTTGAGACATACCCTATTCATTAAAAGCACCATTCAATTTCAGAAACAAGATCAAACCTCAGTGCCTTGTTATACATTAGAAATTTGTTCAAATTCCCACCTACTTGCTCCTCCTAGTGGCTGCTACTAGAATAGTACTTCATTCATAACCATCTAGCACTTTTCAAGAAGTAACTGAAACGTATGTGTAAGTTTTATGCTGCAATTACTCAATTTTTGAGGACTTACAGGAAAATTAATTACTTCTTAAAAAGAATTTCTGTTAGTGTTAAACCACTCTTGCCATCAACCATAAGTTGATCACTATCAAAGCTAAACACAAGCATTTACACATATAATTTTAAATAAGTGGCTATGTTAAAATTTTATTTGCTTTTGTTTAAAGAAACTATTTCAGTGAATGAAATAAAATCACTTCTTGAGCACAAAAATTTAATACTGCCAGTCTCAAAATTAATGATTAAATAAATGGCTTCTACTTCTTGGGTTTGGTTTAAAGAAAATAAAAAAACGGGGGGGGGGGGTCAAAACTAGGTATTTGTCTCTATTCCTCAAAACACCTTTTATTGGAATTTAAACTACTTCTATGACCCCATTTCATCTAGTAACATCTAAGAATAGGAAAAAAGAAAGATGAAGTATAATAACACAAATAAATTTGTGCTATAATGAAAAGCCTCTTGCAAAATAGCCAGTTTTTCATTATGTGGCATCATTAATTTCTCTTGACCAGATTGTAACTTTTTAAAGATCTTGGAATGGAAGGGTTATACAACTAATAAAGACTTAAAAATTAAACTAATTTCTCCTTGTTGCAGATTATGCAACTAAGCATAATCCAAGGATATTTTAAAATATATTTTGTGGAAAATGGGGTTTAAGCAGTTTAAGATAGCAGTGGTCATTGTCTATATTTTGCAAAAATAGACCAAAAAAATTATGCAAAATGTATGTCTTTGCCAAAACCATAGCTAAAATAAGACTGATCTCTTGGATTCTTCCTATTTGAAATGCATGGTTAAAATTAGCAAAGTACTTAAAAATGTTAATCACTTATTACTGTCTAACCTCACACTGAAATTACTGGACCCTGAAAATTGATTTTGACAGGTGTATCTTCTCACTGACTTTCTCAACACAGTGGGGGCCAGTGGAAATGTGCCAAGCAGTTTACTGTGACTAACTGAACTCTGCCACACTCAAACCTACACTGTCTGTCCCAAAACCAATACATGATTATTTTCCAAAAAAGGACACTGACTGCGGACCATATCGTCATGGTATGTCAAATCAATTTTAATTAATGTCAATACACTTTCCATCTGTTCCGACGGCCTTCTTACTGAGCCTTTGTCAGAAGTCTAAAAAACATTTCCTTTCTACGTGATACAACTTTAAAAATCTCTACCTTAAATCAAAAGAACAGATGACCAGAGCTACTGAGATCAAGTGAGTCCAATAAAATTAATAATCTATCGATTACCTTTCAAGTGATCATTGTGCTATAAGAATATTTTAAAACAGATAAACCTTATTGTTTTGTTAAAAGGAAACAAATTATATGCTTTCTTCTGGTTTATCCTATTTTTTCACAGCTTAAAAACATCCTCTTATTAGCCATCAGGGCCCTTTTAAGGCAGTTTGTAAGACTTTGCATTTTGCATTTTGTAAACCATTATGCTTCATCTTTACAGAATGACTTCGAGGGACACACAACTGAACCAGAAAATGATGACCAAAGATCAGTAGTGATTCAAGAAAAAACAACAGTATTTTTGGCCTGATACATCTTACTCTATTCCTGGATATTTACAACATGCTTCAGTGGAGGAGGAGACACTGCTGCTTTGCAAAGATGACCTGGAATGCTAAAAGGTCTCTGTTCCGGACTCACCTTGTGGGTGTACTTTCTCTAGTGTTTCTTTTTGCTATGTTTTTGTTTTTCAATCATCATGACTGGCTACCAGGTAGACCTGGATTCAAAGAAAATCCTGTGACCTACACTTTCCGAGGATTTCGTTCTACAAAAAGTGAAACAAATCACAGCTCCCTTCGGAACATTTGGAAAGATGCAGTTCCTCAGACTCTGAGGCCTCAAACAGCAACTAACTCCAATAACACAGATCTATCACCACAAGGAGTTACAGGACTAGAGAATACACTCAGTGCCAATGGAAGCAACTATAATGAAAAGGGTACTGGATATCCAAACTCTTACCATTTCAAATATATTATCAATGAGCCTGAAAAATGCCAAGAGAAAAGTCCATTTTTAATACTATTAATAGCCGCAGAACCTGGACAAATAGAAGCAAGAAGAGCTATCCGGCAAACGTGGGGCAATGAAAGTTTAGCACCTGGCATCCAAATCACACGGATTTTTTTATTGGGCATAAGTATTAAGCTGAATGGCTATCTTCAACATGCAATTCTGGAAGAAAGCAGACAATATCACGACATAATTCAACAGGAATACTTAGATACATACTATAATCTGACCATTAAAACACTAATGGGTATGAACTGGGTTGCAACATACTGTCCACATATTCCGTATGTCATGAAAACGGACAGTGACATGTTTGTCAACACTGAATATTTAATACACAAGTTACTAAAGCCAGACCTGCCTCCTAGACATAACTATTTTACTGGGTACCTAATGAGAGGCTATGCACCCAACAGAAACAAAGACAGCAAGTGGTACATGCCACCAGACCTTTATCCAAGTGAGCGTTACCCTGTCTTCTGCTCAGGAACTGGTTATGTTTTTTCTGGGGATCTAGCAGAAAAGATATTTAAGGTTTCTTTAGGCATCCGTCGTTTGCACTTGGAAGATGTGTATGTAGGAATCTGTCTTGCCAAGTTGAGAATTGATCCTGTGCCCCCTCCCAATGAGTTTGTGTTCAATCACTGGCGAGTTTCTTACTCAAGCTGTAAATACAGCCACCTAATTACCTCTCATCAGTTCCAGCCTAGTGAACTGATAAAATACTGGAACCACTTACAACAAAATAAGCACAACGCCTGTGCCAACGCAGCAAAGGAAAAAGCAGGCAGGTATCGGCACCGCAAACTACATTAAAAGACTATTTTTGTTCAAGTGTACAATCTGTAAATATTGCTTAAAGCATGTATAGTTAAAAACTTGATTACATACATAGGACAAGTTTTAGTTCAACTCATCACATAAAGGAATTCAAAACTATTTTTTTAATTTCTGAAGATGCTAATTCATAAAATTACAACACTATGGCAAAAAGATATCCCAAAAGACTATTAAAAAAACTGTATAAAGGGATTCTCTGTATTAACATGCAATAATAAGCATGCATACATAAATGGTTCAAGTCTTACATTAGGGACCAATATAATGTAACTGTATACATTTCCACATAAATCTTAATTTAAGAAATCAAGGCAGTCAGAAGATTCCTAGATTTACTTTGGATTTCAGCATATTTTCATGTAAATAAGACAGTACTATTGATTTTAAGGCAACTTTGTAACTGCAAAGAACATCTTTTCTGACCAGACTCTAGAGTTCTAAAACTTTATACTACATGCAATAAGACTTAATTAAGTTATTCCATAAACTCATTTATAGCATTCAAGTGTCTGAGCAAAGCAATTATCATTCAAGCATTTACTTTTCAAAATAATTGACAATTGTCTTAATTTCCTTTATTAATTCTCATATATGCTGGGGAAATTATTTTGACATGTGATAAGTGTGAAAAAACTAATGTGTCTCAGGCTCAAGTTTTTATAAAAATGAATTATATTAAAGGTTTCAAAATAGATTAAATTTTGTTTCCTCATTGGTATTAAGGGCCAAGCCAGTATTTCAATGAATTTTGCATTTAGACGAAATATTGCACTCTTAGAGTGCTATCATTTAACTACAACTATACCTGGCTTCACATGAGTGTAAAATAGAACCTGTAACTGAAGCAAAAGTACTAACATAAAAGCAAAATGATGATGTGTTGTTGAAAAAGGAAGAAAAAAGGGATACAGGTAGTAATTTCATTTAAAGATGCCTGTCTGCCAAATGGCAACAGGTGGGAAAAGTTTATTTCCTCAGAGCAGGTGTACATACACCAACACTTAATCATTTTATGGAACTTCTTTCTCTCAATGTCAAGTTTACAAACCAAAGTTTTTAATTTGGTAAATGGCAAATATGTGTATTTCCAATTAAAAACTATTAGAAAGGGATGGGAGAAGCTACAAACATTTGATGACTATTTGCCTTTCAAATGGACGACATACTCAATGCACTTTTATCAAGGTACTATTAGTTTTTAAAAGGAAAACAACAAAACCCTGAATTGAATGTCTATTATACAAAAGTTTCACATTTTGTTTGGCCCCATCATGAATTTTAACATCAATAAACACAAGTCCACTAACTTTAAAATAGTGCTTTTATTCCATGTAACTTTATCAATTTTAATTAAGTCAGAACATCTGACCAGAATTCTAATAATCATTTTTAACACCGAACCTATTATGAAAGGATAAATTGCCAGAAGCACAAAAAGTGTTGTTAGTAATACACTGAGTTTTACTTATATTAAATTTATCCCCCCTTTTAAAACAAAAGCATAAGTACTCTCTATTCCACATCAAATGATTCTGAACAATCAGCTATGAAACATCCACTAGCTCTTACTTAATGATTATTTTTCACTTAATTATTCAATGCAATTGCAGAGTTACCAGCATTAACTACAAAAACGGCATACAAAACCCCATCAGTGATGAAAAACAGAGGGACTGTCAGTGTAAACTGATTCCCTCTCCTTTATGCCACAGAAGTTTAAGAAGAAAAGGGGGTTGTCTATGTTTTTGAGCACTCATGCATAGGTATGTGACAGAAACAGAACCCCCAAGTGTTATTTGAAACTATAATAGGATAAGACTATTGGGTTAAAGACACTGACTTCTGAAAAACAGAATTCTTAAAAATATTTAAGTACTTATTCTCAGGTATCAATTTAAAATCATTTCTATGTTCCTCATGACTGACTTGAAAGATAATGATGATGTTTTGAGTCCTCAGAGGGGATTAAACCAGTGAAGTTCTTAATGTCAAAAATCTATAAATTTTAGCCGGGCGTTGGTGGCTCATGCCTTTAATCCCAGCACTCTGGAGGCAGAGGCAGGCGGATCTCTGTGAGTTCGAGGCCAGCCTGGTCTCTAGAGCAAGTGCCAGGATAGTCTCCAAAGCTACACAGAGAAACCCCGTCTCGAAAAGAAAAACAAAAAACAAAAAACAAAAAAACTATAATTTTGCCTTTGGGGTATCATATCACATGGAAAATGATGGCGGAATGAAAGTTCAAGGCAAACTAGGTTAAACAGTGAAATCCTGACTAAGAAAACAATCAAACCTTATTTTAAAATGAAAATCTTATTATTAATTTATTTTCACATTTCATTTTCAAGAATAAAAATGTTAATTTTATAAGCCAAATAGCTGCTATTTAAATGTCTCAGCAGTTGCTAACTGTATCTTCATTACCTCAGTACTATGAAATTTTTATATATAAGAAATGTTTGAAAACAACTATATGAATGTGATTAAAAGAAAGATTACAGAGTTAACTGGATAACCCTATACTCAAAGTGTTAACAGACATTTCAGAATGAAACTCCAAGTTTTAGTATTTACAACACTAATTGGTTTGAGATAAAATTAGAGGTAATGAATTTCTTCAATGGCTAAATAATTCACATTTTCCCTAATCTCTTTCAGACATATAATATGCATAAGCACATACACCCTAATTGGAACTTTATTAATACCTAGTTCCAGAAAAAGTCTCTAATAATAGTAATAACACTAACAGCACCACACACCATTTACTGACTGTGGAAGTAATGTATCTGGTACTGTTATTACTTCATACAATACTTGTAACAATAGAAGAGAGAAAAGACTCACGTGAGAGGTCAAACATATAAAACAACAAGGCTAGTAAAAGGCTTCCATCTCAGACATCATGCTCTTATCCATTACACTGTTCTGCTACATATTTTACTTATGACAGAAGCTAACAGGTCTACAAAGCCATGCAAAATTGGCTTATTCCACTGTTTGGCGTTCTCTGCTTATTCTCTTTGGCCATGCCCACAGATTTCACAGGCATTTTTCTCTCAATAGCATATGGTATCAGCTGTTAGGTATACATAACATAAGAAAAGGGAAAGAAAAATTTGTTTCCCTGATTTTTTTTTTCTTCTTCCCCTTTGCAGATATTTTGTGAATGGTAAATTTAATTCTGGAAAACATGTGCACTACTGTTTTGGGGCCCAGGTTACACCTACAATAGTAAGCAAATGGCACTCAGAAATTTCACAACTGATAATTTTCAGCAAACAAATAAGGCACTGTGCATATTTAACCACTAGACCATTTAACGGCTTATCTGTATGTAATAAGGTCAAAGCCAACTCATCTGATTAAGTCTACCCAGGCAGTGGCACACACCTTTAATCCCAGGCAGAGCAGATGGATCTCAGTGAGTTCAAGGCTAGCCCTGTTTATATAGCAAGTACCAGGAGAGCCAGAGCTACATAATAGAAAGATCATGTCTCAAACAATCAAACCAAAGACTCTCCCATGCTTCTTTCCCAGGCACCCATCGAGTGAAAAGAGAACAGTCTCACAAGCTGTCCTTTAGCCACTACAGTTGTATACCATGGAACTTATGACTCATACATACACAAAAAAACTTAAGTGAATGAAATACAGAAAATTTAAAGAAATACAGTAAAGAATTACTCAAGCACCTACTCTGATGAGCTTTTTTTTTTTAAAGATTTTTTTTTAAGCTTTTTTTTTGAAAGATTTTACTTATTTATTATGTATACAACATTCTGCTTCCATGCATATCTGCACACCAGAAGAGGGCACCAGATCTCATAATGGATGGTTGTGAGCCACCATGTGGTTGCTGGAAATTGAACTCAGGACCTCTGGAAGAGCAGTCGGTGCTCTTAACCTCTGAGCCATCTCTCCAGCCCTTTGTTAAGCTTTTTAATGTAGGGTTGGCATGACTTCTTTAATTCATGACATTGTAGATTCAGAAAAAAGAAACTACAATGAAGGCAAACAGTGCGGTTATTTATAACTAAGCAAAACTAACTTCTGTCAAAAATAAAACAAAAGACAAGCAGGCATGATGAATCCTGCCTATAGCTACTACAGAAGATGAGGCACAGGACAATTACTTGAGCCTAGCAGTTCCAGGTCAGTCAAAACAACACAACAATGCTCGTTAGAAAAAAAAAAAAAAAAAAAGGCAAGCTTTAGAAATAGACAAAACATATTCTTATTAAGCTCTCCTACCAATAAATCAATCAGGAAACAAAAAATATGTATTCATTGGTACACAGCTCATATTCTACAACCACACACAAGAATCATAATCTTAGGAAATGAAAACTGGCTATTTTACCCATGTTTTTATTCAAGTCAGGAAGTACCATTTAAGTTTATACTTATCTTTTCTAAGATTTATTTTATTTTATGTATATGCTGTTTTGTCTGCATGCACATATATGTGTACCACATGCATGGCTAGTGCCATGGATCCCCTGGAACTAGAGTTACAGACAGTTGTGAGCAGCCAGGTGGGTGTTGGAAATTGAACCCAGGTTTTCTGGAAGAACAGCCAGTGATCTTAACTGCTAAGCCCTCTCTCCAGCTCATACTATATCGTTTTTAACTAGTACATATTCATTACTCACTACATGTAATGTAGTTTAACCAAATTTAATCAAACCATAGTTATACCTTCTAGAACTAGAGGATAACAGTCAAAATCTTAAGCAAGTAAACTATAAAATGTTTGAACACCTGGCTTCCAATCACTCATCAAATATTATGAAGAGCCTACTATTTGCAGGTACCAACATTATAACAACAAAACAAAATATGGATGTCTTTAGTAACTTACTCCGTATAACTGCATAGTCATGTAGAGAAAAGGCAAAACTGTATCTGTTTCTCAATCCAAGAATAACTTCCAAACTCGTGGAAGATATGTCAATAATGAAGCACACTTGTTCTTA